ACCAAAGATTTCTACAGTGAAAGTTTTAGATTGTTAAAAAAGAGATTGAGGAATACACCAGGAGACGGGAGGACCTTCCTTGTTCATGGATTGGAAGAATTAATATTGTGAAAATGACTATCCTGCCAAAAGCAATATGTAGATTGAATGCAATCCCAATCAAAATCTCCATGACATGCTTCACAGAATTAGAAAAAACCATTCTTAAATTCATATGGAAGTACAAAAGACCTCGGATAGCCAAAGCAACCCTGAGCGCAAAGAGCAATGCTGGTGGGATTACTATACCAGATGTTGAAGTATATTACAGAGCTATAGTCTTAAAAGCAGCATGGTACTGGCACAAAAATCAATGGAACATCATTGAAGATCCAAACCCAAGTACAGGCAATTTCAGCCACCTGATATTTGACAAAGGGCCCAAGAACACATAATGGAGGAAAGATAACATCTTCAACAAATGATAACATCTTCAACAAATGGTCCTGGCAAAACTGGATCTCTACCTGTACAAGAATGAAACTAGATCCTTATCTTTCACCTTGCACAAAGGTCAACTTCAAATGGATCAGAGACCTCAATGTGAAACTGGAAACCCTGAAACTATTAGAAGAAAATATTGGCAGTAACTTACAAGATAAAGGTATCAGAAGAGATTTTCTAAGTCATACAGCAGTTGCTCAGGAATTATGGTCATCAATCAACAAGTAGGACCTCATTAAGCTAAAAAGCTGTACAGCAAAAGAAACAATCAAAAAAATGAAGAGAAAACCCACAGAATGGGAAAAAATCTTCACCAGTGACACATCTGATGGGTTTAAGATCCAGAATACATAAAGAACTCTAAAAACAAAGAATCGAGAAACCAAATGATCTAATTAAAAGATGGGGTAAAGGTCTGAACAGAGAGTTCTCAAAGGAAAAAATAAAGATGACTAAGAAACATCTCAAAAAGTGTTCAACATCATTAGTAATTAGGGAAATGTAAATTAAAATCTCCCTAAGGTATCACCTTACCCCAATTAGACTGACCAGGATCTAGAGAAGAAATGATAGCAAATGCTGGCGAGGATTTGGAGAAAGGGGAGCGCTTATTCACTGCTGGTGGGATTGCAAACTCGTGCAACCTCTATGGAAAACTGTGGAGAACACTTAGAGATCTAAAAATGAATCTACCATATCATCCGATTATACCACTCCTTGGCATATACCCAAAGGACTCATCCTATTGCAGAGACACTTGTATAACCATGTTTGTTGCTGCTCTTTTCACAATAGCTAAGAGATGGAAGCAACATAAGTGCCCTTCAACTGATGAGTGGTTAACAAAAATGTATATTTACACAATGGAGTTCTATTCAACAGTAAAGAAAGATGAAATAATTTGCAGGTAACTGGATGGATCTAGAAACTGTTACAGTAAGTGAGGTAACACAGACTCAGAAAAATAAGCGATGTGTTCTCCCTCATATGTGGATCCTAGCACCAAATCCTTTTAAATTCCAGTTCCTTTTAATAAGACGATGCTATACAGCAGCCCCTTCTGCATGAAATAACTACTATGTTCACAACTTCTGCTGAGCCTGATCGCCAAACATCGCCAATAAGACGGTTGTGCTCATTCATTAAAGGAGGGCCAAGCAGGGTCATTGGACCTTACTGCGTTATCCAGCTACTCTTCCTAGCCAACTGTATGTAATTTGACCCTAATCACACATGGCCTCCTGGATTTGAGCGTGGCTAAAGTATACAATTTGGGGAAGGCTAGGAAGAGAAAGCATGACCCATGCTGGGTAAAGGCTTTTGAGTGTACATACCGTCAGGGCATACATCTCAGCAACCCCTCAGTTATGTTCGTAAGTAAGCTCAATAAATTCATTGGTTCCCCAGTAAAACTTTAATCAAACATTGGCCTGACACTAGAATGTTGAAAGGGAATAAGCATTCTTTAGCATCCCCAGGAAAAAAAGTCTCAGAACAGATGGAAAATTTATTTGTTAATGCTATTATGTCTCATAATTATTTTAAAAAAAATGAGAATGTAAAAGATGTTAAAAGGATATGAGAATGGAGATATTTTCCAAAATAGAAAAAATGAGAAAGTCTAAGCAAGTGATGAAGGTCTGTTTAGGTTTGTTATGATATATAAAGGATGAGACAAAAATAGTATACACATAATTTTAAAATGTCTATGGTCATAGTTTAGTCAACTAGTTAGGGAACAAATATATATGTCTAGAGAATATTTGTTTTTTTTACCCAAGCCTTATCTACATAGCACATGATAATTAAATGTCCCAGACTAGTGGAACCAACCTTATTGGATGTTTAACAGCCATAGTTTGAAGCCTATACTAATGTGGTCAGAGGGACTTAAAGGACAGTTTTTGCCACTTGCCCTCCATGGTCGAAGACGTGCCAGGGGACTATGGAACATCTCTCAAAATGTCCTGTTCAACTGTGGTGAGTCACCTGTCCTCTTGTTCAGGGAGGACATGGAGACCCCACGAGATAGACTTGAACCAATGTCCAGTCTACAAAGAAGAGGGTCAAGTCAGAAGAGACAACTTATGTATGCTTCCAAGTGAAGCTGGACATGGTCAATCAGGACCTTTGACTTCCCTTCACATAAATGGAACTGATAAAAGAAAGGAGCCAGGAACTCCTCCCAAGCCCATGTGATCCCTGAGGGACAGATCCTCAAATGACCTTGAGCGTAAAAATAAATAGATTTATTTGGGTCAACTATATGGTCTTAAACACACAAAAGGAAATTATAACCAAAGAGTAAATTCATCAGTATATTTCTTTAATTGTTTAAGGGATTACACTTCCCAGACATTAGGCTTAAGTCTATATAAAAAGTTATTTCGACAATTATTTCTCATTGATGATTTTGTTCCTAACCAGAAAGTGTTGCTCAGATGTAAGAAAGACTTCAAATCTTGGTCTCCAGTTCTGTAGTGCCCACCTGTATCTAAGGGAGACAACCAGCTATTGTTCTAAAATGATGGATAAATTTGTTTTCACCCCCTATCTAGAAGCCTTTGAGAGGGAACTGACACTGATTCTAACCACTCCAACAGCTATCAAAATTCCTGAAAACAAATCCTGAATCCATCACCCTCAAGTCCAACCTTGGCAGACAAAAGAAAAATGAGGAGAACCCAATAGAGGGATGCTTTTGGAAACCCTTGTCAAGGAATTCCAGTGAATTCTGATATGAACATTTGAAAATTGCCCTGTTCTGACTTTTTTCTAGTTCCCTGTCTAGAGCTTGTAATGCTAATTACTCTTCCTTTACTTCTCCTTCACATCTCCTATTCAGGATTCAAAGACTTTATTTTCCTCCTCGAGATAAAAGTTGTGCAATTTGGGAGTCTTTTAGATAGACCCTCTAATTGCCTCACCCTGCGACCCCGTTCAGCATGGAAGAAGCCAGAGTGGTCTGCATCCTGATTCACTATTGGGAATTTGGGTAACCTCTTCAGGGGATGGTGTGATAAGAATAGGAGGTAGGAATTGGCTAGGCAGTTAGGGTAAAAAATGACTCTAAATAAAAGTAGCCAGTTTCTTGGCTAAAAGTCAAAATGTCCTTGGGCTTCTTAGAAACATACTCTGTTCCAAAGGCCAAATTATTGAAAGTATTTGGGAGCTTTTATCCAATCCTTAAAAGATTTTAGGGTTACCTCTTCAGAGGGGGCAATGTTAGAGTAGCCAAAAGTCCCATTTTTTTTAAAAAAAAAAAAAGTACATGAAGTTATCAGAAAAAAGTGATGAGATATGGGAGGAGTTGGGTAGGAGTGAGTGGGCATGGATATGATCAAAACATCTTATATGCATGTATGAAATTCTCAATAAATTATTTATTTAAAAAGAATCTCGTACTATATCTTGTGTTAGAGGAACTGTAAATGTGTGAGCTTTAGGTAGAAATCTTTTCTTTTCTCTATAAATATTTAAATCTAAGATCTAGGGTTTTTTTTTTCTTTTGTGGTGGTTGGTTTTAATGTGTATGTGTATGTATATGTATAAATGTATGTTTTTCTGGTTACATGTGTTTGTGTGGGTGTCTGTACACGTGCATGTGGAGACCAAGAGTCAACCTTGGGTATCATTTCTTATGTGCCATCTGTTTTGTTTTTTGAGACAAGATCTATTGTCCTAGAACTCATTGGTAAGACTAGGCTTCTTGGCCTGTGAGCTCCAGATCCAGCTTTCTGTTTCAACACTGGGATTGCAAACATGTACCTCCATGCGTGGCGTTTTTATATAGGTTCTGGGGATCAAACTCAAATCCCCATGGTTGTCTAGCAAGTACTTCACTGGCTGAGCCATCTTCCCAGCCCTGAGATTGAGATTTTGAAGAAGCTCTTGTACTGTGTCTTTCGGTGCTTCTTGGATATGAAGTTCCAGGCTGGGCACATTACAAATTATCTTTTAATATTTTATCATTTTTGTCTTATCTATTAATGTCTTTCTCTTATTTAAAAAAAAAATCTTCCATTATATTCACTGTGAGTTCCTTCCTGGTCTTCACAAAGTATGTAATTAAAAATATTTTATTGTGAATTTATGTAGGATTTTATTTATATATATATATATTCACTTTTTTAATTTTTATGTGTATGAGAGTAATGAATGCCTGCATGTGTGTAAATGCACCTGTGTTGTGCAGTGTCCACAGAGGTCAGAAGAAGGTGTTGGATTCCCCTAGAACTGGAGTTACAGGCAGTTGCTGGCTAGCATGTGGATGTTGGAAGTTGAATCCAGGTCCTCTGCAAGAGCAACCAGTTCTCTTAATGTGAGCTGTCTCTCCAGCCCCTATTTTTATATTTTCTGACTGCAGTTTATCCTACTACAATTTCTGTCAGATTGTAACTGTTGAAGACTGTCTTGTGTTTTACAGATTCATATACTTACCTGTGCTTAGCATTGTTTCTTATAAATTAATATTTTATCAGTATTTTCTAATATTTTTATTTTCTTTCTCTGAGTAGGTTTATACAGCTTGGCCAGTGGCAGGATTTCCTGGAGGCAAGGTTGGCCTAAGTGAAATGGCACAGAAGAATGTGGGTGTAAGGGCTGGCGAGACCCTCCGGGTCCAGCCTCTTTTGGGTGCTGTACTTCAGGCTCAGGAGATGGATTTGGCACTGAGGTTTGGCTCTTTTCTTTGTTGACTGTCTAGCTCAGGCTTTAGAAATATAATGAAAGGTAAAGAAATATAAATCATGTACTTTCCTATTTTCTAGTAGCCACATTTAAGTAATAAAGAGAAACAGGTGAAATGAATTATAAATTTTATTTAACCAATAAATATAAAATATTTTAATATATAATGTTACTAATCAGGCATTTTACAATCCTTTTTTTCAAACTAAAATACAGTGTGTAATACCTGTCATTCCATTTTTTTTTCTTCTTTTGCTTGTTTTGTTTTTGAGACAGGGTCTCTCCCTGTAGCCCAGGCTTGCCTTGAACTTGTGATCTTCCTGCCACAGTCTGTAGCTGCTGGGAAATGTCTCCCTTGCTCCCTCCATCTTTCCCTTCCTTCCTTCCTTTCCTTTTTCTTGGTTTGTAGATGCTGAGGAATTTCTCTCCCTCCCTCCTTCTCTCCCTTTCCTTTTTCTTGGTTTGTGGTATCGAAATGGAAACTGGGGCACTAGCGGCATTTAAGTACTTGATAGCCACATGTGAATGACTAGTGGCCTGCTTTATGAGCTAGCACAATCTAAATGAGTGCTATGTTATCATTTATGGATAAAGGTCGCTGATCCTTGTGGTTAAAGTATGCCCTGACATTTTAGGGGAAATGAATTATTATTGATGAATACTTAGTAGTTGTGTTTCAGGGCTCCTTTTCTTGCAGTTACCAGCTGCTTATTTTGAATAGATACATTTTAAAAATTACTGTCTTTATTTTTGAGACAGTTTCCCTCTATAGCCCAGGCTGATCTGTGTAACTCATAATCTTGCTTCAGTCTTTGAGTACTAGGATTATAGATATGTGTTGCCATTCACAGCTCAGGAAATAATATTTAATTATGACAGCTTAAGAAAATAACCTGATTGCAAGTTTAAGTCATATTTAACGTACTAAAACAAAAGACTCGTGCTTCCAAAAGTTTTAAATTGTCCTTACCAAAGACTGTTTGACTTTGTGTGAACAAAGGGTTTCACCTATGCTTTTGAATATGTCCTTTTGTGTTAGATTGCTTATATAAATCTGATCAAAATTCATTTTAATAAAAGTACTTAGTGATAATTTGGGCAATGTATATGTAAGAATTCCCACACATTTTTCTAGTCATCATCTTGAGTTGAATGCTTTCTCTACTTTTGTAGATTGAAAGCTTGAGTTTTGATATTTTTTTCCCTTTGAAAATGGAAATGTTTTTAGAACAGAGAATGCATTTAATCAACATTGAAAACCAAGAAAAGCAAAATATTGAACACCAACTTTATATATTAGATACTTACATATGTTGCATACATGTATGTATATACACATTTATCCTTTTGTTTTTCTTATTTTCCTCTAATACCTTTCAGGATATTTATCCACCTTCCACAACCCTCCCTCCCCCCATTTTTTAAATTCACGATCTCACTATGAGCCCAGGTTGGCTTCGATCTCATAATCCTCCTGCTTCATCCTCTCAGGTGCTGGTATTAAGGTATGCCACTGTACCTCATTTATTTCCCTTCAGTAGGAAATGGGGTCAGTGTGAGAAAGCTGACTATTTTATGGAGTACGTAGTACTATTCAGATTAAAACAGATAAATCGGCAGACTGTATGTTAAAATTGCTACATGAAGTAATAATTAGTTGACCAGAATTAGCATTAGTTATGATCTATGAACTAGTCTCACCTTATTAATTGTAGCTAAGTAGTGTTGAGTGATTACAGAGGAATTTTAAGTTTGGCAGCAGGATGTAGAAAAGAAAGTTAATTTCCAATTAAGGAAAATCAATTGTTTTAATCTGATTGGACTGTTAGTTGCAGGTTGAAAAATTTATTAGCAATGGGGCTGGAGAGATGGCTCAATGGTTAAGAACATTGGTTGTTATTGCAGAAGACCTGGGTTCAAATCCCAGCACCCATATGGCAGCTAACAACTGTCCGTAACTCCAGTTCCAGGGGATCTGACAGCCTCTTCTGACCTCCGCGGGCATTTCACAACACAGGTGCACTTACCTACATGCAAGCAATACACGCATACACACAAAATAAATAAAGTTAAAAAAAAAAAAAAAAAGACTTTATTAGTGATGTTGGAGCGCCTTCTAGTGGCAATAATTTTAGCTACACCCGTTTTTAAAAGAAAATTTGAATAATTTCATTGTTCTAGCCCATATTTGTTTAATTATTCAGTTTAATAAAATAAGTATAACTTAATTCATTGTCTTAAATAGAATTAAATTTAAACATTGAAGGATATGCATTATCATATCTTTTATTAGTTTACAATGTGTGTATGTATACAAAGCAATATTTGCCATTTCTGTGTACAGTGTATGTTGACATTTCTTACTCCAGTAAAGTGCTAGATGGAATTGGTTTTTATGATTCCATGACACTAATGGAAAGTACCCCATATTTTGAAGATCATTGACTTAAACTTTTATTGCAGATAGTTTGCTCAAGTAAGAAGTTCTAAAAAGTGTTGTCATCCCAAAATTATATATTTTCAGGTTTTAAACAAATTATTCTTTTGATTATGTTTATAATATAAATGATACATGGCATTTTATAACCACAGTTTAGTTTCTACTGTACCTGATGCTAATTTGTTTCTTTTTATTCTTTTTGTAGTGACAAAGATAGAGAAATTAATGAAGAAGAACTGACTGGTTGTATTCTGAGAAAACTAGGTGAGACTAATATTTTAAATTATTTTCTTAAATTTTAAGCAATAGTACTGCAGAGATGGCTCAGCAGTTAAGAGCATCAGCTGCTCTTGCAGAGAACCTGGGTTCAATTCCCAGCACCCACATGGCACTTAACAACTGTCTGTAACTCCAGTTCTAAAGTAATCTGTTGCTGCCTACTGACTCTGGGCATTGCATGACATGGGTGCACTTACACACATGCAGGCAATACACTCATGCACATAAAATAAAAATAAGAGTAAAAAAAATTTTTAAGCAATAAGGCAGCAACAAAATGCGCTCTTGAGGTCTTGTAAATATAACTTTTTTCAAAATAGCTAAAAGAATATGTCCATTCGAAGACAAAGCTGGTGATAAAACTGAGACTTCTTGCGTGCATGCGTGCGTGCGTGTACGTACCAGAGTTTAACACTGGGTGCCTCATTCATTCTCCACCTTACATATCTATTTATTTAAAAACAGTTTTTCACCAAAGTTGGAGTTCTGTTTTTATGTCGGTTTATTTATGCCAGTTTTAGTTTCTAGTCAGTTTGTTATACTATGTAAATTAGTATTAAAACTGTTAAACCTGGTTAAGAAAATTGCACTAACGTGTATATTTAATACATTATTTTCTAGATGGCAAGATTGTTTTACCAGGCAACTTTCTGTATTGTACTTTCTATGGACGGCTTTGCAAGTTACAAGTGTTGCAAGTGAAAGGGACAGATGGCACAGCATTAGGAAAGCCCCAGAATGTGTCTAGCCCTGAGACTCAGGCCTGTGAGCATTCCAGTATGGAAACCAGTGACCTGGATATATCCTTCCAGCTAAGCCAGTTAGATATGAAAGAACCTCATAGCCCAGCATCACAAAGTAAACCTACTGATGACAGAATTTTAAGTAAAGCTGATGAAGATTTGTCGGATGTTATACAGAGTCCTGGGAATGGCAGTGGACTTGGGCTGGTGGAAGGCACAGGTCTTAAATGTAGTTTTGATTCAGCCAGAGAAGAAAGCAAGCAACTTACCAATGAAGAAAAACTCCTAAAATCTGCCAATGAAGGAGCAAAGTGCAATACTGATACTTTTTATTTTATTTCTTCAACAACAAGAATCAATCTTAGAAAAATTTGTAAAAACTCAAAAGAACAAGACAGCCAATTCAGAATAACTTACGACATGATTGGAGGCTTAAACAGTCAGCTGAAAGCAATTAGAGAAATAATTGAACTGCCTCTCAAGCAGCCTGAACTTTTCAAGAGTTATGGTATGTTACCATTAGTTTATTATACTCCAAAGTGTTACATTCAAGCTCAGAAGCAGTCCACCTATCCACTGTCTAGTCATTGTGTAGCTTCTTTTCCTGTCTTTATTTCCTGAGTCAGATATGATAGTTGCTTTGGGCGATGTTAGAAAAATGACCCATTCTCTATGCCTGGTCTTTAAAGTTGTAGCTTTAAAGTTTGTGCATGACAGGCTAGTCTCTTCTGATAACATATATCCACTGTTGGTAGACTGAATCTGTAGAAAGAATCTTGCTCTCAGTATCAGCTGTAATGACTAAAGAAATAAACACAGATAACCGTAGCTTGATTCAAACCTTTGTTAGGAAATAAAACTCTATCTCTCTGCCTTGAAGCAAGTAATTAAGGGAATAACTTGACTCCTAGGAAACTTGTGATTGATGCTGTGCAGTTGCTATGCATTCTTTTGCTTATGTTTGTTGTGTATTATCTCTGTTTTTTTTTCCATTTTCATAAATCTTTATTTAAAAGGAACTTTTGTATTTATATCTTTGCTCATAGTGTTTATATTCCCTAAGATGACAAGTTTGGAGAAGTTGGGATTGGTGGCTTGTTTATGCCTGCATATTTCATCTGGATTTTTTGCTGTATTCTGATTGTTGAACTTTGGGATATAGCAAGGGTGTCCTTTTGTGTTTTACTAACCTGCTTCCCTTGATTTATGTTCTATAGAGAAAGAGAAAGGTATTGCTGGGCCTCAGGGTTTGGGATTGACAATACATCTTCATGGAGGGTAGGGGAAAAGGTTTGACTCTCACTTTTTTATGCAAGGTAATACCGAATTTAGTGTCTTTTGTTTTTTCTTCTAGGAATTCCAGCACCTAGAGGATTATTACTCTATGGTCCGCCAGGTACTGGAAAGACAATGATTGCCAGGGCTGTGGCGAATGAAGTTGGAGCTTATGTTTCTGTAATTAATGGTCCTGAAATAATAAGCAAGGAAGCAGGGTCTCCCTGTAGCCCCAGCTGTCCTATAACTCACTATGTAGACCAGGCTGGGCTTGAACTCACAGAGATCTGCTTGCCTCTGCCTCCCAAATGCTGGGACTACAGGTGTGTGCCACCATGCCCGGCTAAATATGTATATCTTAAATGTGACTTTTTAAATGGCTGCATTACATTGTACTCTGGATATTTCATGCATTAAAATAGTTAGGAATATTTTAAATTTGCTTTATTGTTCAAGCATACTCTTGCCCAAGTAGCCTTGGCTGATCTCATAGTTGTGATGTTTATGCCTTTGCCTCTCTAATGCTGGGATTGTAGATGTCCTTCTAAATTTGCTTTAGAATGTATACAAAAATTAAGTTTAGAAGTAATTTTTGAAGCTAATTTAAGTATTTTAGAAATATTTGAAAATTCAGACTATCTTTTGTAGGAAAAGTTTTAAAAATAATAAGAAATGTCCATAAATGTTTTTTGTTTGTTACAGATTCTATGGTGAGACTGAAGCTAGGTTACGTCAGATATTCGCAGAAGCCGCTCTACGGTACTTTTATTATTTAGTGTTTGGGAATTAATAATTAAGACTCTATTAAAGTGAGATAGTAGCACTTTATCAATGCTAAAAAATAATACAAAAGAGTGATGACTCTAGGAATAGATGATAGATTTAATTAAATTTTGTTTCTTTCTGTCTAATATTGCTTTGGAAGTTACTAAATTTCATAAAGCAGAAGAATTAAGGCATTAAGCCTTAGTGAGAAAGTTTGCCTGTGCAGAGATTTATCCCATGAACAGTGGATTCTTCTAGATACTATGCCTTTCCTTTCCTTTTACAGTCAGTCTGTAGTCTGTCTTTCATTGTTCTTTGCTGTGCAGAAACTTTAATTTCATGCAATCCAATTTGTGAGTTCTTGGGATTATTTCCTACTCTGTTAGTCTTTTTAGAAAGTCCTAGACTCTGTCTATATCTTAAAAGTGTTTTATATGGTTTCCTCTACCAGTTTTCAATATTTAGGTCTTAGTTTAAAGTTTCTGACCCCCTGTGAATTAGTTTTTGTGTAGCATGAGAGAGATGGATCTAGTTTTATTCTTTTACATGTGAATATCTAGTTTTCCCAGCATTATTTGTTGAAGAGGCTTTTTTTCTTTTTTTAGTGTGTGTTTTTGACACCTTTGCTAAAAATTAGGTTTCTGGGAGCTGGACAGGTGGCTCAGCTTTTAAGAGCACTGGCTGCTCTTGCAGAGGACCTGGGTTAATTCCCAGCACCCACTTGGTGGCTAACAGCCATCTGTAACTCCAGTTACAGGGAATCTGACACCCTCTTCTGACCTCCTTGGGCATTGTACAACACAAGTGCGCCTACCTACTTGCAGGCATTATACTCATACACATAAAATAAAAAAAAAATAGATGAAATATTTTTAAAAATAGGTTTCTGTAGCTATGTCCTGTGTTCTTTTCTGTTGGTCTCTGTGTCTGTTTTTATGCCAGTACTGTGCTATTTTTGTTTGGATCGTTCTGTTGTAGTTTGAGATCAGGTACGTGGTAACCCCAGCATTATTTTTTCTGCTTAGGATTGCTTTGGCTGTAATACTGTGCCAAGGAGTCTGTCCTAGTTTTATTTCTGTTGCTGGGATAAAAAAAATACCATGATAGAAGAAACTTAGGGGAAAAGAGGTGTATTTTAACTCTCAATTCCAGGTTACAGACCATTATTGTGGTGAAGTCAAGGCAGCAGGTACTTGAAGCAGCTTGTCACATCATATTTATATTTATAGTCAGAAATGGGGAACTGAATGCATACATGCTTGCTTGCTCTCAGCTGGAATTCTCTAGACCCCTGCCCCCTGCGTAGGAAATGATGCCACCCACAGTGGGCTGGATCTTCCTGAGTCAGTTAATAAAGGCAGTCCACCACAGACATGTCCACAGGTCAACCCAGTGTAACTAAGTCCTACATTAAGACTTCCCGGGTAATTCTAGGTTGTGTCAAGTTGATAAAACTACCACAGGTTTTATATGAATTTTATGGTTGTACTTTCTAGTTCTGTTTAAGAATTATTGGAAGTTGATGGGAATTACATTAAATCTGTAGATTGCTTTTAGTAATTTTTATAGTATTAAATCTGCCAATCCATGATGGGAAGATTTAAAATCTTCTAGTGCCTTCTTTTTTTCTCCATTATCTTAAACTGTTCATTATAGCGCTGTGCTGGATAGCTTTAGTGTCAACTTGACACACCTGGGTTGAGGGAGCCTCAATCAGGGAATTGCCTCTAT